GGACTTTTGAGGGACTTACTGACCTGCATATAAGAAACAGGATTCCTCGAGAGTGATTGAGCCTCTCTCAGCACGCGTATCTAAAAGGTAGATTCGTAGAATCTGCCTTGCACACAATTGCTGAAGTTCATAGAGGAGTCTTTTAGTAACAAGGCTTTTGTACTTGAGGTCTTCCTTGATATCGAGGGGGCTTTTGGTAGTGTGTTATCTGAGGCGATAGTAAGAGCTCTAACTAAGCTCGGAGTCGAAAGCTACTTAGTTAGGCTCATCTCTCGCATGTTGTACGACAGAACTGTCATAGCGGAATGGGCAAATGCCTCTGACCAGCGTAGAATGAGAAGAGGCACCCCGCAGGGAGGCGTCCTTTCCCCCTTTCTCTGGATAGTCGTGAGAAACGACATCCTGGAGAAGCTGGAAAGGAGAGGATGCCAGGTTATTGCCTACGCGGATGATGTAGCACTCATCGTCAGAGGAAAGTTCTTGAACACTCTGTATGATCTTATGCAAGGGTACCTGAACTTGGTCACGAACTGGTCCTCTAGATTTAAATCCTGGAAAGACGAAGCTCGTACTATTCACCAGAATGTATGAAGTGCCTCATGCCCACCTTCTCTTATGAGGAGGTGTTTCCCTTGTTCTTTCTGACAGAGTCAAGTTCTTGGACGTGATCCTGGCTATCGTGGAAGCCAAATATCGAGGATCGAGTAAAAAAGGCATCAGTGACTCTTTATTGCTGTAAAAACGCCATAGGGAAGAGCTGGAATTCACTGGAAAAGTCTACTCTTGTTAGGAGGCTAGAGCGCGTGCAAAAGGCGGCCCTCGTTTGAATTAGCGGGGCGCTCTGGACTACACCAGTTCTAGCGCTAAATGCTATGCTCAGCGTCGCACTTGTTGACATCGCGGGAAAAGTAGCGGCGGTTCTCTCAGCCATTAGGCTCAAAAACTCTGGGTTCTGTTTGGACCCAGCGTACGGCCACTCGACGATTCTCAAAAGCTCCGACTTCCTCCCGTAAGAATTGGATTGGCGTGTTCCGCGGCCAGCCCCAAACGGATCCTTCTGCACGCACATTCCTCCAAGGAGCGAATGGGAGAATGGCAGTCTCTGGAGTAGAGGTTTAATAAACATATTCACGGACGGATCGAAGTTGGACGGTATAGTCGGAGGAGGGGTCTACTGTCGGGAACTCTGGATAGATCTTATGTTCAGAAAGCTGGACCTCGGCAGCGTCTTTCAAGCACAGGTGGCCGCTATAAAACAGGCAGCCGATTGGCTACGCACCAGCCTCTTGCCTACTAAGTAGGAAGGTAAATATCTACTATGATAGCTAAGCGGCAGTCAAAGTGCTGGGCTCGCTTATGGTACGATCGAAACTAATCGGGAAATGTCTGACTTCTCTCTCAATATGTATAAAGACTAAAACAAACAAGAAAATATCTTCGAAACCCTTATAGAAAACCAGAATTAATATTTTAGAAACTAAAGTCGCTTTAGGTAAATCAATTACTTGTTTCTTCATTTAAAAAGCGGTTTTTGTATCCGAGTACTATTTGATTCCTCTTTTTGCAACAAAAACTATTAACCCTCCACTTCCTATTTAGCAGAAACATTCAAACATGCTCTGTACTCAAGGCCAGTACCACAGCCAATTTCAAAACTTTGACAATCTCAGATGGACATTCTCCATTTCAGCACTTCTCATTTTGGACTTAAGACATATGCAAAATTTAAAAACAATCAGTGCCGTTGCATAACAATGAACAATTCAAAGGACATGTTAGCCACATTGGCAATTAACTCGAGTACAACAAGTCAGCAACACCGAAAATAACAACAAAAATGAATAGACGGTACAAACATTTACATTTGCAGTGCAGCCAAACAAAAAAAAATATAATCGAGTGTATTTCACTTCCATATGAGCCGTATGAGCCTTTTCAATGTCTACAAGAGGAGGAGTACTTGGATAACACACTCTACACAGAGAGCGAGAGGAGTGGTGTTGTTGTTGGGGGAAAATTCCATTAATGACAAATCGCTTGAGGGACATCAGTGGTTGAATGTTCAGCTGGTTGATGACAAAGCAAGCGGCTCTGATGGTTTGTTGCAGGCCGCTTATCTCGCATTACCACAGCATTTACGACTGCGAGTCATGCGAGGCGGAGAGTGCAATTAGAGAGGTGAGGGTTAGTAAAGAGATACTGCTGTTTTTTTTTTTTTTGTATTGCATTGTAGCCCGAAAGGAATTTCATTGAACACAATTCAACATGTCACAACACAATTTCAGCAGTAACAACAACAGCAACAACAACTAATGCGACTTCTATTTGCACATTTGGTGGGATTGTTATTGCGGTGCTTTGTTGCCGGCAGTCCATTTGGTGCATTTCGATATCCTCTTTGCCACTGATGTCATTAAATGCCACTGCAACTAATACTCAACGCTGCTGCTGCGGCCACATGCCACATTGCAAGGGCTTAAGCGGTAACTCGCTGAATTCACAATGAAAAATTCCTTGTCTTTTCCATGCGCAGTGCAAGCCCATTGAAACTCATCCGCCGCCACTCGCCTCCCCTCCCATGCACTCTACAGTCAACAACATTGCTGCAGCGCCAACGGTGCTCATTGTACATGCAATAAACATATCGTACGTGGAATGCGTTGCATGCATCGCGTTGCATGTATATCCGTTTTAAATGGTTTGCTCGTAATGGAGCAGGACGTAGTATGTGAAAAGGCTAGCCAGTTGCAAGCGCATGGCTATACATTTTAGATACAAGATTTTTGACGAGGGGTTAAGTGCAGGCACAGCGATAAGCTGATTTTATCTCGGGGATTTATTGAAATCCATTTTGTCGTCTCTTCCTGTCAGTCGGTCTGCCTGGCTAACTCGCTTTGTCCTGTCTATTGTTGTTTTTATTCGCTCGCCTGTCAGCTGGTTGGGTATTAGAGTATGTTTGTTTTTTGTCGCGTCCACTTCACCGCTGATTTTATTGGCTTAAAAAATTGCCATTTTCGTAGCTGTACTCTAACAAAATTTTATCAAAGAACCTTTATTTGCAGTTTAAGATGTTTGCGTGTGCTGTACGATGCATTTATCGAGGCATTTAAGAGCTCATAAAGTGTCTTTGAAACGACTTCATATTTTATTGCCTCTACGCATGAACAAAAAAACCACTACTTACTTGCAATCAGAGACCGTATCGAGCAAGCATTTTATAAAAAAGCAAAATTCTTAGTAAACTATTAACGTTTAGTTCATTATTTTGAAAAATAGGTGTGCCACCAGCCACTTATGATTAAATCTTAGTAACTACTTTACCAATCTCTACCAAGCTTTGATTAAGGTGGTTGTCCCAAGCACATGGATTATAAGTACAGTCCTTTGAGACACAACTACGAACGGTACCTGCCTAAGCTATAGCGAAAAACTCTATTTCCATAATGAATTCCCTGAAGCGGCAACTACCAGTACCAGTTTAGAATAAAGCAACGTATAAACTCCACTACGATTCCACGTCATCATCATCCAAAGTGGCAAAGTGCATATTTAACATGCCCGTGGAAGTTCCATTACATCCACGGTTTTGTGAGCCTAAAAAGAAACGTGGACCGCCTCCGATGTACCTTCGTCTATGAAAACCTTGCAGTTGTACATTTTATGATTTCTGGACCTTGCTGAGCTGATAAGACGCTCATCCATCAAAAACACCACCACTGTATCCTTTATCGGTGGAACCGACTCGAGGGTGCCCTTTTTCGTCAACTCAGTCGCAATGTCAGTGTGGCCCCTATGCCTCCGGGAGTTTGCGAGCCGTCCACGTCCAATGTAAGGTGATCACCGTTCGACATGTTAAGGCTTTGTGAAGACTTGCAGCTGCAAGGGTGAAAAAGTGCCTTTTCAGAAGGTTGCAAAATCTTCCGTTTCAGCATTCCTCAAAGCGCCCAGTGCGCCTAGCCTTATTAAAAAGCTACTTTCCTTACCGCTGAGATTTTTCGAGACCACCACACGGTTTTAGCCTTGCCCTTCGGCCTAGTCTCGGAACAGCCAGAGCTTAAGATATCGGATAGCCTAATATTAAGTAACGGTATCACAGTTTGCATTCCTGGTGGTTTTCTCTCAATCGCATTTTCTGACTTCTGCGTCCAGCACACCTATTCACAAATATATAAGTCTGACCAGCAAATAGTCAGACGTGACTCAAGGAGACGCCAGGCACTCTCCTACTAGCGGTAAGGGGACCTCGAGTGAGCCCAAGGCCCTGTTTACCGCTCGGCCATCTGAGTATTTATGTGGACATTTACCTCACTTGCCAACGCTACGAAATAGAGCATCCAAATGACTGCATATAAAACACTACAGTGATTGAGAAGTTTTGACCCAGGTTGATAGAGAGCTCTCTGCGAAAGTTTCCTTCCACCGATCCTTCCTTCACGCTACGATCCATGCGGTTAGAAGCTCACCGATTCTATCTTTTAATAAACCCTTTGAGTTGACTCATCCCTAGAGAAAATCTGAGCGGAGATAAATCTCATATTGGTGCCAGTCTAGCTACACAGTGAACCGCGTAAACAACGGTAAAGTCGAGTTATACAAAAATGTCAATGTTTACCATTAAAAATATCAAACTTTACGATGACAATGTCAGATTTTAAATACTAACACCTAGTATCTCAACACTTAAATAGCAACCCTCGTATCGAACACTGCATATCTTACTTTTTAACTAATTGCAATTTAATCACTTTCAGTTGATTGTGCCAGGAGTGCCTTATCAAAAGTGTTCACGTGCTAAGCAAATAATGGCAATCACCCACGAGCGTTTATTACTTTCCTAGGCTTGGCGAATTCACGATAAGAACTGCGCATTCTTTTTGCAGATTAAAAAAAAAGGCCCCCTTTAAATTTTATGTGAGTTAGCGAGAAACACAAAGGTGTAACTATGTAAATAAATTTAGTAATTGATGAGGCAGCCAGGTGATAGCCGACGCAAGGCGATAAGCTGCACGGAAAAATTAAATTAATATTTAAGCGAAGTATTACTGCTGAAAATGCACACAAGACTTTCACCGCCAAATTAAAAACAACGAACATGGGAGCGGTTAATATTGTGCCGCTGCTGCTTTTGTATTACTTTGGCTGTGCTATTGCTGTTGCACTGCAAGCTTTGGCGCCACCGGAGTTGCCATCCGCCCGTATTGTCGGTGGTAAGAATGCGGCCGAAGATCAATTTCCTCATCAAGTGTCGTTGCAAGTTGCAGGCCAGCACTACTGCGGAGGCTCAATCATATCTGCCAACTATGTGGTAACAGCGGCGCACTGTGTGATCGGCGATCAAGGGCAGACGTAAGTGTATCTTTGCAATATCCCAAATTGTATTCACTTTACCGCTATAACTCTTCATTTATCAGGCTACCAGCTTCAATGTTAACGTTACGCGCTGGCTCCACGCAGATCCACTCGGGCGGTGTGCTCGTACGTATCGCAAAAATTATTATCCATCCACTGTATGTCAGCAACATAAATGACATTGCACTGCTGCGCTTAAGTACACCGCTCACATTCAGCAAAAGCATTAAAGCAATACCATTAGCAATCTCCAATCCACCTACTGGTGCCTCAGTCATTGTATCGGGTTGGGGTAATCTGCGTCAGAATGGAGCTCAACCCACACATCTCCAATATACGACATTGCGCACGATAAGTACACTTCAGTGCCGACGGCAAATTGCTTATGTACCAACCTCAGTCATCTGTTTGGCTCATACCTCTGGAAATGGTATCTGCTATGGTGATTCTGGTGGACCAGCTATCTATAAGGGTAAATTAATTGGTGTGGCAAACTTCATTATAAGAGAATGTGGATTGAGTTTTCCGGATGGTTATGCCAAGATTTCATTCTTCCGCAGCTGGTTGCGAGAGAACACAGATTTGTAGTGTGAATTTAATAGGTGATAAGTAAATGTAAAGCGCAATGTACCTAGGTATGCAATTAATTTTTTACTAAGTTGACAACAAAAAATACACTATAGTAGATAAAAAAAATTAACCAAATAACCTGATATTCAGACAAGTGTGAACACCGCATATAGTAAATTTCAGGGAAAATTACATAAAAGAAATGGCGCTTGAAAGAACTACTACCGTAAAAATAAATTAGTGTGGTGACGGCAGATTGTTGAATATGAAACCCATTAAATATTAGTTATACATCAGTTGTGTAATTAAGAAACTGTCAACCAATAGCATGACAGATCTGCTAGGCATATTTTAAAAAACAGGAGGAAGGAAGCCTTCTAAACAACGCCTGGCACAGCTCTTGATGTACTGTCACACTTACTATCGCCTTGCGTCATTGTACGAAAGTAAGGCTTTCCCAGAATTCAAAAAAAATGGTAGTATGTACATATTAGAGGACTGCATGAATTCATTCAAATTTCTAGCCGAACAGAGTAGAGAAGATTCGCATATTTTACTTCACGCATATTTTACATTCAGCGTTTGGAGTTTTTTAAGTTATGAATATACATTTTGTTTTAAATTTTCTACCTGCAAATAGAAGAATGTGAATGAATGAGTGGAAAACATTCAAAACATGCCAACCCCTTTCGGTAAAAAATGTTTTTCTACAAACAAGTTTGTTCGTATTGTAGTAGATGCGCAACAATACATATGTATGTATGCATGATTATACATAAAAATTATTTTTGGATACTCACACAAAAGATTGTCATTTATTTCAATTCAAATTATTTTCACTTTGTTTGAATATTATAACGTCGACGCATATATGAGAACAGGTACTCACTCAAATTCAAAATCATTCATTCGTTTTGTATATGAATAATTCATAATTCGTTTTGAATGAATTCATGCAGTCCTCTAGTACATATGTATGTACATAGTTATGACACTGTGCGAGTCAGAAATTGCTGAAGATAGGGATCTAGCTGGGGCTTCGCAAACCGTTAAGCTAATGAACTATGTGTTGTAAAAAAGGTGAAGAAATAACAGCTTTGTTCCGCCACCCGGATTATACTTAAGACTTTTAACACAGTTATCTAACTAATTTAAAACTACAGTGATGTGCGACTAAATAGAGCCACGACGTGTTGAAGAGTTTTGGGCAATTATTTTTTATGTATAAACCTCTTAAGCTGAAGCTACATAGGTGGTTTTTCAGGCGTTGCAGCTTCAGGCGCTCAAGCCTAAAATATGATTTAATGTAATTTTACAAAAGCTGCTCCACAACCGAAGTCTAAAAAGTCTGAAAGCCCTGCAAGATGCCAAATTTCGAACATCTTTCAGGCTTTGTATGCTTTTCAGGCGTCGTCTGATTAATCATGTTTAATGAATTTAACACAAAATTCGGGCAATGCAACGCAAGAAAAAATTATTAATTAAGTATATGAAAAAGAATATTGACAAAAGTACAGAATAAATTAAAATGAAATGTGCTAACATTTCCTAGTCGATATCTCTTTTCCGGAAAATTCATTCCTACACTATTCTCCCATTTACTACGAAATGTCAAAAGTTCGAACAAACGTCAAGCGCAAAAAGTCTGTTTGGAGTTTCTCGCCAGAAAAGCCTGTAAGACCTGAACGACCTCGAAAGCCACAACGCCTGAAAAGCCTGCTAGGAAGCTTCAGCTTAAATTGTCATTATAGTCAAAATTTGCGTTAACCTTGCCAAAAATTTGTAATTTCTTCTTGTGTGTAAAATGAACATTTCTGGACTAGTTCTGGGTCTAGTTCGGGTTTATTTCGGCACTAGTTCAAGACCATTTTGAGATAGGTTGAGGCCTATTAAAGAGCCATTTCTAGTAAATAAGAGGCGATTTCGTAACCGTTTTAGGACTTGTTCGAAATCCTTTTGAAACAAGTTCATGACTTTTTCATAACTATTAATCGATATGGTTTTTAAAAGATTTGTTTCCTAAGTTTACAGTAGGCGGGGTGCAACCTGTTCAAAAAATTAAATTCAATTCGGATTAAGGGAATAAGGTTTATAGAAATATGTATCACCATATTGGCATAGAAAAATAAGAAGTAATAGTTTGAAAATATTTTTAATAGGGTTGCCACCTGTTTGAAAATTCGACTTCAGTGAACTTACACACAATGAAATATAAAAATATGCGAAACAAAATAGTGTTAAGAAATTTTAAGTTTTAACACCAAGAACATTTTTAAGGTGTTGAGAGAGGGTTGCCGCTCGTGTAAAAAGTTAAGTTCGCATTATTTAACAAATTTAATGAATTATTAAAATATTGGTATCAATAGAATTGGGTTTGACTATATTTCTGAACTATATTCGGAGGGTTGCCACACAAATCAAATTCGGCTCATTTCATTAGTTAGTTAAAATATGAGTCACAATTTCAAAAGAAGGTTATTTAAGAAGGTTTTAGCTTGAAACTACTGTTTAAAAGGTCGAATTTAATTAACTTATATGCAAACTATTTGAAATATGAAAGTACGGGTGTCAAGCTAAAAAATGTTGAAAAAGCTTCAGTTTGAAGATTTAGAATGTTTGAGGATGATTGCCACATTTTTAAAAAGTGGCAATAAAATTATTTAATAAGTTTGAGGAAAGAAAGGTGGGTATCAATGGAAATGGGTTTGAAAATCTTTATTTCTCAAATATATTTAGTTGAGTTGCCACCTGTTTTAAAACCCCAACTCAACGTTAATTAAGGCAATTAGGTAATTGAAATATGTATCAAAGTTTGGCTATTAGACGAAAGAGATTTATGAAGCTTTTAGTTTGAAAATACTGTTAGTAAAGGAGCTGAATGTTTGATGGTTGATAAAGGAAATGAGTTAGCAGCAAGAGTTTATGGGGTGTGCATAGCTCAGTGGTTAGCGCTGCTGGCTGCGTACATCGATGATGCGGGTTCGATTGCAGCTGAAGGTTAAAGAGAAAAACAAATAGTTATCCAAATTCGGTAATACATCGCACAGTGGTTCAAAACTGGAATTTTCTGTTCGTAATCCACTGGAGCCTAAATAAAAGCTTATAAAATTGTGAACACAACGTTCCACTTTAATATGTACCATATTTGATACACATACTTGGCCTCCTTAAGCACCATCTTGAAAACTTTTGAATGCGCGAAAAACTACGCAATCCATCCGTATAACGGTAATTTTCGAAATTTCGTGGTTAGCTATATTTCAGCTCCCGAACGCATTTGTCATTCAGAGTGAAATATCAACACGCACACTACAAATTGAAGGAGAAGAAGCTCGGCCAAACACTTAACAAAAGTGTTAGTGGCATATTTTTTTCGTTTATTACTTTCATTACTTCCAGCTTATTTTAAAAGTTGCATTCCAAATCATCCATAAGGCGGAGAATTTTTTAACTAAATAAAATTCTTAATTTATGAGACAACTAAGCGATAGTCGACGCCGGTGAAGACTACTTCGCAAATATTTAAGCAAATTGTTTACACTAGAGACATTCAGTATACTACACTATCGCCGCCATTAAATCAAAAAGAACGCAAATGTGAAAATATAACAACGCTTTTAATTTAGTACCGCTACAGCTTTTTGTGTTACTTTAGACCGCCGCGATCCTTTGGAGGAGTGTCTGGAGTTAAAGCATATACAATTTTCGGTTCTCAATACCAGGACATCGTATTTAAAGCTGGTTCGTACGATAGAGAAACCAGTCTATTATAATTAATTTCTTCAAGACACAATGATCGGATCTAAACCGAATTAGTATGGGACCACCTCCGAGGTACCAACTTTCCTTTAAAAAAAATCGGTTAACGTGGTCCAAAGTTATGCAGTAACAGAC